CACAGGAGTTCTCTAGGTAATTGTTGAAAGTTTCTAGATTTCATCTGAGTCCAAAAGACCTTGGTTAATGTTATTTGATTCTACCATGTAAATGTCCTTGTTCCTTTTCCTCTCTTCAACCTTCAAACTTGTCCCTGTATCAGTGTAAATCAATATTATTTGTTTGGAAGTATTGTGCCATTGGCACTAGTGAAGATGTCAGGTGTTGAAAACTGAACTGCAGTTTCTAAAAACTGTATTGAATCTCAAAACTGTACTGATTCTTAAAGTCTCTCTGATCTTCAATTTTTGCGACAGTTTGGGGTTAGAGGGGTGGGGGTGGCAGGGTAGGGTAAGATAGGGGTAAAGAAATGCTGATAGACAGTTAGACCTCTTGCTCAGGCATAACAAATGGAGTACTCAGGAATTTTTAGCACTATACTGGTTCTCCCTTGTCCACGTTTGAAACTTGTTCATATTTTCGCTATAAAGAAGCAAAGACACATTTTTTTGACTTATCGCCTTTTTTCTTTCAAGTCCTGCCAAAATTGTCACCATTTTCGTTCGGCACTGAAGCATATGAAGCTGGGGAGCTAGTTTCAGTGCAGTGCATAGTTGCTGCAGGAGACCTCCCTGTTAGCATTTCGTGGCTGTTCAACAATGAGCCGATCCCTCCCACAATGGGAGTGTCCAGCTCTCAGAGTAACAAACGGATCAGCACACTGCAAATTGAGTCTGTAGCTGCCGATCATGCCGGAAATTACACATGTATAGGAAGAAATAGCGCTGGAAATGCAACATACTCCTCGCAGTTATTTGTAGATGGTTAGATCATCATTCTTGCAAGTTGGGATGTGTGGATTGCCTGACCAATCTTGATATTGTCTTGCTATATTTGACAACACCGTTATCTTTTCGTTCTGATTCATCTTCTTTTGACTTTTCCTTCAAAATTTCAATCTCCATAGTTTTTAATTATATTTAATTTTTAATTATAGTTTTACAAGGGTGAATTTTTTAATAAGGTTTCCTTCTTTTTCTTATAACATCGATATTGGAAGAAGGATGAAACCATCAGGAAACTACACAAAAAAAAACTTTTATAACTTTATTTCCTAGGTTGTAAAGAAATCAGCAATCTTCCAGACACATTTGATCCTTAATTTTATCATTTTTAAAAAAAACTTTATTTCCAGAGAAATTTTGGTGAGTGAAAGTAGTCAAACGGTAGTTACGCAAAAATGATTAATTTCTCTGATTTACGACCTATTGTACCTATATCAAAAGAAGAAATCATGAATTTACACATTAACTTCCTCCCAATGTGTACTGATACATTTCGCAAGTGCCTTAATTTTATAAAGAGGAGAATCTCTGAATAAAACCACTTTTGCAGAACCTTTCAGTCAATTTCAAACAGCAAACACTTTGCTGAGAAACTCAGAGGACACAAATTCACAATCTGGTTTTGTTCTAAAAACAAAATCAAATTAACTTGCACCAATTGTATAAGACATATTAATCTGTCAAATTTGAAAAATGAAACTTCATCAGACAGCTTGTAGACGTATGTAAGCAAGTGTAATGCCAGTTCGAAATTGCCCCTCAGAAATCACCCTCTCCAAGAAAATACCTCATGGAAATAATTTAAAAATTCACTCTAGTATAATTTTTTCTTATTTTTTATTTTTATTTTCTTCTTTTTCTCCTTCATTGAGTTATCTTTTCCCACTAGGACCTAAAAATTCTTGGAGGATATGTCAAGCATTAAGTCTTAATTATTTTTCTCAAAATATATTTATCTCACTGCTGACTCCTGTTTTGGAGCAAGTGTGAGGTATGAAGTTTCAATTGGCTATTTCTACGCGACTGATTTTTAATTTATGCAGAAACTGTAAAATTATCATCAATTGACCAAAGAAAAACCAAAAAAACAAACATGTATTTTCATCAGCATCTGTTTTTACTTAAATTTGTTTATTGCTTTTCAAGTTCCCCCAAAAATTGCACCCTTCTCACTGGGAGAGGGACCATTGGAAGCAGGTGCATCAATCTCTCTTCAATGCTCTGTCACCTACGGTGATTACCCGATTAATATCACTTGGTGGTTCAATAATCTGCCGATCTCCCTTTTAAGCGACATCTCCGTTTCAACTGTCAGCAAGCGGTTGAGTGTTCTGGAAATTGAATCTGTGAAAGCATTTCATGTTGGAAACTACACTTGCATTGCAAAGAATGATGCAGGAAATATGTCTCATACTGCTGAAGTATTAGTAAATGGTTCGAATCAATAATTACAGACTTTGATGGAAGCATGCCTCACTATTGTTGATCTCTCAGCGATCCATATGGTCTGCCTTTCCTTATTTTTACTTAATTACAATCACTTTAATTTCTTTTTCTTTCATCTTTCCTTTTGAAGGATCAGAGTTTTCAGTTTTGTAAGGACAGCTCGGCCCACTGTAAGATGATTCTTGTGTTCAAAAAACTTTGGAATCAGCATACATTCTTCAGAATTTATTTATATTTTTGAATAGGAGCTCAGAAACCTCATTCATTTTTCCGATACTTATATTCCTGTTGCTAGTTTTGGAAACCAAGCAGTTATTTTTCCTTCCTTTTCCTTCAACACCCCAATGTTTGCTCTGTCCTCTCAATTACAGTTAGGAAACTATTTTTACATTCCGATTTTGGCCCTATCAATTTAATTTCTTTCAATTATCTTGGAAGTGGCCTCGAATTTTCATTTAAATTTAGTTACTTTTGAAGAAAATTTTTTCTCTTTTAGTCCCACCAAAGATTGCACCTTTTTCACTCCCTGACAATCCTCTTGAGGCGGGTGAATCTGTATCGCTACACTGCTCTGCGACCTCTGGGGACTTACCGATTAACATTACTTGGTGGTTCAATGGCCTGCCAGTCTCTCTCCTGAGTGATATTTCCGTATCAGTTGTCAGCAAACGTTTGAGCGTGCTTGAAATTGAATCCATCAAAGCATTTCATGTTGGGAACTACACCTGTGTTGGGAAAAATGATGCAGGAAATATGTCTCACACAGCCGAACTTCTAGTCAATGGTTTGCATCAGTTTTCAAAAACATGATTTTGTCACTGGTGGTATTCGAATTGCTCAGTTGTTGTGCTCCTTTTTGTCTGTAATGCTTTTTATCGAAAACTCATTTTATTTTATTTTTTTTCTGTCCATCTCCATTTGATATCCTGCCTTCCCAGAATGTGTCCTCAATATCTGGAAAGCAATAATTCCTATGGGTTTTTATATTGTATTTGTGTTAAACTTGACACTGTCAGACTGGAACAAGATGGTTTCTTTTCCCCAAATATTCGTTGCTATGTTCATCGCTAAGTTCGCTATGTTATTAGGACATCAGTTCAGCTCTCGTGAGATGGCATTCTTCATTGGTAGTAGGTAGATGAGGGCCAGGGGTGGCTATCACCACTCATGATTTTTACTTCAACCATGATATGAGATTTTCAATTCGAGCAAAGGCTCTCAAATTAGCCAACGGTTAAAGAATGACCTCAAATGTATTGTCTATGCTTTCATAAGTACCCTACGAAGGCTTAAGTTTTCTGAATTTTCCTTCAATTTCCAGAGTCTCCAGATTCTTTGGAGCTACTGTCTCCCCTTTTTTGTGTAAAATGTATTATGGTAATTAGAACTTTTTAATATGTTAAGTAAGAAGACACACTCTGAGAAATAATTTTAATTACGGTTGAATTCCTCAGATGAAAAGTCATGAAATCTTAAGTAAAGTGAATTTATTTTTTTTAAGTTCTGCCAAAAATTGCTCCCTTTTCCTTCGGAGATGGTCCTCATGAAGCTGGAGAATCAGTGTCTACGCAGTGTGCTGTCTCAGGGGATCTACCAATTAACATTTCTTGGTGGTTCAATGGTCAGCCTATCTCTCTCGTCAATGAGATATCAACATCTGTTGTTAACCGTCGTATAAGCGTTCTCGAAATTGAGTCTATTAAGGCATTTCACGTTGGCAACTACACATGCCTAGGAATGAATCAAGTTGGCAATGTTACTCATACTGCGCAGTTACTAGTCAATGGTGTGAATCCTAAAATCCCTTAACTCAAGGAATGCTGTTCAATAGTTTCTCTCTTATTCCTTTTTCTCTATTGACTCCCTTCTTACTTTGTCAACTGTAGTATAGGTACTGTCTCATGATTTCTTATACGATTATTTTTTTTTTTATTATTATTATTATCATTATTATTTTTTTTTTTAATTTTTTTTCTCCTTGACCATTATTTTACCTTCCTCATCTATATTTCCTATTTTTCAAATTTTTGAAGGCCCTGTGTAGGTAACTGGTGTTGCCAGTAATTTTATTTCACTCAACGAAAGTTGTCTTTGACCATTACTTCCTTGAAAGAGAAGTAGCTCAATTGGTCTGGATGATTCGTTTCCAGTTTTAAAAGAATTTAGATAGATGATAGGTGTTGTTGGAACATTTTCCTCTCGAGGTTTTTGAATGGAAATCTCGAACATAGCATGGAAATTAGCGTGGAATATACTCTACAGCAACTAATTTTTACAGTGTAATACTGAGTCCCTAGAGGCTAATGAGTCTCATAAATTATTCCACAAACAGAAGGAGTAGTGTATGACAGATCGGGAAAAACGAATACTTTAACGTCCATACTTTGAAAATGATGTTTTGATTTCAAGACACTTTTTTCGAAGAAACCGATTAGCAGTCACTTCTAGACCTCAACTTTAATAACACCATTTAAAATGGCTTCAAATAAAATTTTGAACGGTCCTCCTTTGTAAAGTTTTGACCCTGGTCTTCATTTGAGTCATAACCATTGCTTTTTACAAGGTATCGTTTGAGCTTATGTCACTGATGAGTGATGTCTTAATGATCGTCTACTATCCTATCAGGCGAAATTAATTTTCACTTGTTAGTAAGATGTTAATTCAATTTATAAGTATTGTATCATGATATATTTTGCCTCAAATAAATAATTTTTTTTCACTTTTCAAAGTTCCACCAAAAATTGCCCCTTTCTCATTTGGTGATGCGCCTCATGAAGCTGGTGAGTCAGTATCAACGCAGTGCTCAGTTTCCTCCGGTGATCTTCCAATAAATATTTCCTGGTGGTTTAACGGACAACCTATTTCGCTTCTAAGTGACATTACAACTTCATCTGTTAGCCATCGGTCAAGTTTCCTTGAAATTGAGTCACTGAAAGGGTTTCATGTGGGAAACTACACTTGCATGGGCATCAATAAGGCAGGAAACATGACACATACTGCTCAATTGCTCGTCAATGGTGCGCCCCCAGCAACTATAGCATGAGATGGTTTTTTCCCTAAGGCTCTTCCTAATTTTTTGTCGCTTTGTACTCTTAAATAGTTAAAATCTAGTTAAGATGTTTTTTTGCTGTCATCTTTCTTTTCAATTATCTGTTGATATGTCTCAAAAAGAGCACTGATTCACAAGCACGATTGAAACTTTCTTTTTGCTCAAACTTTCTAGATAGAATCCAGTGTAAATCTCATCAAAATTTGAAGTTTTAAGAAAAAATCCTAGCTTTGAGAAAATCTTATTATTGTGTGTGAAAGACTCACAAAATAGTGTCACTTTGTACCCCTTTGTTGTTTTATTTATTTATTATTTTTTTCTTAATTAATAGAAACATCAAATTAACTAGTAGTATAGGATTTATAAGTCCTAAATTCTTTTATCATAGTTCGCCATAAGTTAATATGTTATAATTATTTTTAAAAGGCAAAACTTTAGTCCGAGTTTTTCGTTTGCAACAGAATTGGTAATTGTTACCCTCCCTTACCCTTGTCTAATCTGCTGCAACATTATTTTTTGGTGTTATATCGGATTGAAGTGTTGGGGTGTTGCAGTTTATGGTCTAGGAAAATGAAAGAGGTGTCATTTAGGTAGAATTTTCCATCAGATTAGTACAATCTTTGTCATTTTCCAGGTTGATGGTTGCATAATATTATCTTCAATTTTACTGAAATATTTTATTGGTAGAGCAGGTCAGAATATCTTTAATCTATCTCTGGAACATGAAAGGTTGAACTAAATGTGTATGTCTAAAGTCTGTCTTAAGTCGCACTAATCCAGCAAACTGATCTGTTTTGAAGTGCTTCCAAAAATCAGTCCTTTCTCGTTTGGCGAAGAATCTCTGGAAGCTGGACAGTCAGTATCTGTGCAATGTTCAATCATGGCAGGAGATTTTCCCATGAACATAACATGGTTATTTAACGATCTACCTATTCCTTACTCTTTGGATGTCACTACATCCACCATGAACCGCCGTGTGAGTCTCCTAGCTATTGAATCAGTGGCAGCTCATCATGTCGGGAACTATACTTGCGTCGGGAAGAATGATGCTGGAAATGCATCTCACACTTCGGCATTGTTTGTCAATGGTTCGATCATTTCCTCTGAAGTCCATATGTTTGCGCATGTCTTCTTAGTCTACCTAATTTTCTCTTTTTTTTGTCATTTTTTTTTGTTTTCAACCCATCTCATGAATGTAGCCTTCATCAGAGAATTTGAGTGTAAGCTGTGGAGCATTATTTTCCCCTCCTTGTATCAATATTTCTGTAAGTTTCCTTTCATATTCATCCCATTATTCCTATTGAAGTCAGGTGAAAAAAAGCAGGTTAAACCTCAGCTGTCGTGCACTTCCTGTCAAATTGAAGGTGATTAAGAAATCAATGACGCAAATAATTATTAATTTAATCCAAATACTTACATTTCTCAATGGTTACAATCGATGTTGGATGACTTGGTCGTGGTCAAACTGGAAAGTTTCTGTTTTGCTCAATAGGCTCTCAAGTCTCTCCACTTTTGTCGAAGTTCTGCGTTTTAGAAAATTTACTCTTGCATATGAATGGAAGAAACGATGACATGAAATCAATTTCAATAAAGTGGTATTCGGCCATAATTTTAACAGTTAAATGGTCAAGGCCAGACTAAACTCTTTTCTCTGTTACAATTTATCATTCAAAGGAAATCAGGTGATTTTACTGTTAATCTTGTTCATCACCAACTTAATCATACTGTCCTAGGCGCTATTTTGTTAAGTGTTCGCTTAGTGGCGGTAAGTTCGCTTACTGTCACGGATGCTTGCCCAAATCTCGGTTTTGTTTCGATGACATTCCTGAGCCGGGGAGCAGAAAGTCTAGAAGCTGCGCCGCATTGATGATGAGTTCAATCAGAACTAAAACGTATTCGCAGTTGCCTCCTTGATTGGTTCTAACAAGTGTTGCTCTGAACAGCGTAACTCTTTGAAGGAAAAATTTCTTGCGGATGAGTTTTTACGATTATAATAAAGAAGAAACACTGCAGTCCATGACTTTATGTCAAATTCTCTGTATTTATTTTTTTATTTAAAACTTTATTTTATGTGCCAATGACTTTCGTACAAACAGCCCATTTGTTATAGCCGAAGTGTTGATGTGCAAGTATCCATGGACAATTTCAGGAGATAAAGAAATTTTTCTCTCAAAATTCTATACATTTTGAAATTTATTCCAGAAGTCCATCATCTTGTTATACTCGAGTTAATTATAACTGATTTTTTTATCAAGTTCCTCCAAGGATTAGTCCATTCACGTTTGGCGAGGAATCATACGAAGCAGGGCAGTCTGTGTCCATCCAGTGCTCTGTTTTTGCCGGAGATCTTCCGATTAATATCTCGTGGCTGTTTAACGGCCACCCGCTTCCGTACTCGCAGGATGTTTCTGCCTCAACAATTAATCGTCGCATCAGTCTCCTTGCTATAGAGTCCGTCGCTGCACATCATGCAGGCTATTACACTTGTGTGGGAGTCAATGATGCTGGCAACGCCTCATACACCTCTCCTCTACTAATAAATGGTTCAAATCAATACAAAATTAATAATTATTCTGATTAAGAGTGTGTTTGCCCCATACCACCACCCTTTTGGGAAAACGCATGATATAATTTGAACTGTGCGGTTCTTTTTTTGTCAATACTTTAAATTTGTCTCCATCAAATTTCATTTTAGTTCCTCTCAACTCCTCTAAATCTTAGACAGTATGTGTACACAAAAAAAAATCAAAAGGTTAAAAATTGTTTGGACCATTGCAGCAAGATTGAATGAAAGGGAATCAAGCTCTGATATGGATTTTATTTTTTCGGATTCGGTGTGGAAAGTTGTTTTGTTCACTCGGTTGCATAGATGCAAATTGTAGGATCTTGAATCTTATCCTAAAGTCATTGTTATGCTTTTGAAAGGAAGCATTACTCTTTCCTTTCGAGGATCAATCAGATTTGATTGATTTCTGTAACTTGGATCGATTTTTTTAACGTTGCAGAGGGTATCATTTTGAACTTCTGGGCAATTGAAAATCCTCTTTCGTTTGGTCCAATTTTGTGGAATTTTTTTCCATCCCTCACACGGCAGCCATTCAGTTTTCTCTGATGAAATGAATTTGAAACCTTTTTCATCAAAGACTGTTAAATAATTCTGTTGGTATTTTTTTTTTTTTGCCGGCTGTAAATTGTATGAGAGGCTCAAGGTTGTCATACTGGAAGATACCAGTTAAAGTGCTTCACCCTTTCTGTTGATAAAGTAATGATCATTCAATATTCTGATTGAGTTGCCTCTTTTTGCCTCAAGTACCACCAAAATTGAGTCCATTCACATTTGGTGATGAGTCATATGAAGCTGGTCAGTCCGTCTCAGTCCAATGTTCTGTCATATCTGGAGATCTACCGGTAAACATCACATGGTTGTTCAACAATGAGCCAATCCCTCCCCTGAGTGATATTGTAACCTCTACTATGAACAAGCGGATCAGCGTTTTAGCCATTGAATCAGTTGGCGCACGTCATGTTGGCAATTATACTTGCTTCAGCATCAATAATGCGGGAAATTCATCATACACATCTGCTCTATTCGTCAATGGTTATAATCCATTTTCTGTACTTTTTATTTTAGAATTATCAGAACTTGCAACTCATTTCTTTTTGTTATTGCTAGACACCGTCTTTTCTTGATTTTTGTTTTGATTTTGATTTATCGTTTTGCGTCTCGAGTCTTACTCATTTTGACATGTGATTGTTCATGAAAAAAAGGAATTTTGTCCACAAAAATTTGAAATTGAGATATTGATATCATAGCAGTGAAGAGTGTTCTAAGAACATTTTAGGATAAGCAATGCCCAAAATGTTTTGTCAAAGCAAACCAAAGACATGAAATTTGCAATTCAAAAGTCTAGTTTTGAGTAGAAGCTATTTAAAATTCTAATCTTCCAACTTCAGAACACAAAAGTCCAACTGTTAGCAAAAAAATGAATTAAACCGCTTGAAAATTTACTCATCAGGAGACTAGAAAGAGTTTTTCATCGAAGCATCAAAATCTTATTTTTCAAGAATTATTTCAACTCAATGATAATGGTTCTACCTGTAATCTTGCCTTTGCGGATATTGAAGTCCTCATTTCTGTAGAAGGTCATACATGTCACACTATTTTCTTAAAAATGTTTAAGTTACCTGCAATTTTATAGTTCCTATTTTTGTTTCTTCTCACAACTTTTGCTACACTTTTAAAGAATCTATATATCTACATTGAGAACTGCACTCCTCTCCCCTCCTTGTTTCTTAAAAGCTCTTTTTTTCCTTCACCAATATTTGAAGCTACCAATTGTCAACCATTCATAAAAGTTTCCTCAGGGTTCATTTCTTCTTTGAAGTGTCTTCTATAGTTACTGGTTGACTTTTCTGTGCCACAAAAACTCCTCTGCGCATCAGGTAGTTGCTGAGGTTCTTGTTTCTCTCAGGTCTAGGATTTTGTCTTCGCTTTATTTTGGTTCTCAATGTTACCTGACGTGGGGTAACATGAATCTACTTTAAATTATATCAGTGCCGTGCTAATTGTTGGCATTCCTGCTTAGTTTTTTTTTTATACTCTGAAAACTGTACTTGCAAAATTTGATGACTCTGTCATCATCATTGAATGAAAAATTTCCAAATTCTCCAAACAGAAAACTTTTCTTTTCTGCGGGCCGATTGTTGAAATATTGTGTTAGTCGATGTGAAAAGACAAAATTAAGGTAGATTGGGGTCATGTTATAGGTCTATTTGTCATTTGTCCTGTTTATCGTGCCTGTGTAGGGTGAAATGAACAAGTTATTGGTAACTCAAGAGTTGCCTTTAGCCTGTTTTCAATTCCAATACACATAGGTGTGATAAAGAGGATGCCTGACAAAGTTGACCAATTGTATAACTGCATTTCACCCATGCCTTGTCTTCTCCAGTCGCTCTGCAACCTTCATGCTTTCGGTTAGTGAGCATTGAATGTCTCATTGAATGTGTCAGCATCATGTTATCCAAAGGAATCACAAACAGGGTCAGTTTTTCTCCTCGAGTTAAAACTGTGCACTGAAATATTGCTTAAGTCTCTTATTTCCTCTCGGAACTTAATGTGTTCTGAAAATAACTAAGTTAGTCTAAAATAGATAAGAACTTAAGATCAAGTCAGCAATGAACCAATTAATAGTGCTTAAATATCTGTAGCCAAGGACGGAACATTCATATGACAGTTGTCAAAATCTTGAGTTTGTTTGAGGTAAAGGTGGAACAGTGCAAATAAATGTTAAAATTTTACACCTGATTAAAAATTTGCCGCACAAAAAAACGAAAGGTTGTCAATTTAGATTTGCGCTGTAAGAAATGTTTCGTTAAATTGAATCCCTAATTTTAACGTGTGATCTTAAACTCTGCTATCCATTAATCGAAAAATTGTAAATTTTAGTTTCTCCGAAGATGGTGCCCTTTTCTTTCGGAGAAGGCTCGATTGACGCAGGCCAATCGGCCACGCTTCAGTGTACATTATCAGAAGCTGACTTGCCATTGACCATCATGTGGCTGTACAATGATATTCCAATCAAGTCCTCAGAGCAGGTAACAGTTTCGAAGATCAGCAAGCGCGTGAGCGTACTGACTCTTGAACCTGTTACTCATGAGTTAGTCGGCAACTACACCTGTTTGGCAACGAACGCTGCTGGAAAAGCCAGCTTCACTGCTCAGCTGAATGTTGATGGTACGGATTTGTTCGGTGAAAGTTCCCAGCTACTTGCCTGCCAAAAATATTGGGATGGAGTTGTGCTTGTAGGATTTTTTTAAGCCTTTGACTCTCAAATATCCTCATCCGCACTTTTTCACCTATTCTCTCTTTCATTCACTCTCTGTAATTCATTTATTATTCATTTCCTTGACCAAAAAAAGCTCAAGTATACTATATCTTAATGTTGTAGCTTGAGGAGAACTGTCCGGCCTCTCTGTACATCAGGGACTATCAACTAACTGTCTTCTTGAAGAATCAGTAATATTTCTTCATCATGAAAATAGTAGCTCAAATCTGTGTCATCTCCTTTTCTTTGTTTAGATACTTTGGTATTCATTGATTAGGTTTTTCAAATGGTATGAAACTTGCTTAGGCGTCTACATTCAGTCTTTTCTAAATTCTTCTCGAAAGGATTTTTTCACTACTCGTATACAAAAATGGCTTAATATTGTTGTCGACAAGTTGTCTCTATTCACCTCATCTAAAAATTTCAGTTGTTCCGCGCATCATTCCTTTTCATTTTCAACTGCCCATATTCGCCGGAGAAAGCACTCAGGTTACTTGCCTGATATCACAAGGAGACTTGCCCGTGGACATTTCCTGGAGTTTTGATGGGTCCGAGGTGATCTCAAGTCTTGCAGGAATAACTACTCAAAAAGTTGGCCGAAAAGGCTCCACCCTTTTTATAGAATCAGTCAACGCCCATCACCGTGGAAACTATACATGTATTGCCAGAAATGATGCAGGGTTGACAAATTATTCAACCAGTTTAAACGTTCATGGTAATTTACCGGTGGAAATCTCCAAGCCCTAGCATGACGGTTCTAAGTTGTTAGAATTTTTTCGATTCTTAATTTTAGCTTATTTCATGTCGTAGTTTTTTCAATTTTCGTCCCTCACTTTTTTTTACACCTGCTTCTATGATGAAAAAAGTAATATTTCATCAGCTTTATTTCCTTATCAGGGCTGTCAAAACTAGTTTCTCTTAAGAATAGAATCAAGTGCTCATATGGCCAACAGTTTTTGACGCATTCCAGTATGAAAAACCACAACATACTTCAAGTTGCAAGAGTGCAAATTTTCTTTAAGTGACTCCAGTCATTTGTAGAAATTTTGTTCCATCGATCTGAAACTTTTTAGAGGCAAATTATTCAAATAAATGTAGCATCTAAACGTCTTTCAATTTAACATCAATGCTACCGGGTCAAGTTCACTCAATGAGTCTCCTTTTCAAAAGGAGTCTAAATGAATTCATTAGATTCCAAGAAAAAATAAATAAATAAATAATCAACTCTGGTCCAGTAGAATTTTAAAAGAAATGTATCGATCGAAAACGTATTCTTACGTACCATCCCTAATCATTCCCAGCTAATCTATCCAATATCTTACTATTCAACACGGCTAGGCTGTAATCAAATCATTGTTTGCACATTGCACCATCGGTATTAGGTTTATTGTTTCTAAAGGTGTCTTGCTCTTTTTGGTTTTATGGTCAGTTGCTCCACGAATTCTTCCATTCAGTTTCGAATCACCCATGTTTGCCGGTCAAACAGCACAAATTACATGTTTGGTCAGTGACGGAGATTTACCCTTAGATATTTCATGGAGCTTTCAAGGTGCTGATAATTTTGCTCATCTGGGCATCTCAACGCAAAACTTGGGCCGCAAAGGAAGCTCGTTACTTATCGAATCTGCAGATTCATATCATCAAGGAAATTACACATGCACGGTTAAAAATGCTGCCGCAACAGCTAACTATACGGCAGCCCTAAACGTACACGGTAAAATACACAAACACACATGCATATTTTGCATTTATTCCCCTTTCCAGAGCATGAGTCAACCTGATGAGATCGAACTTTTTTATCCTCAGAGTAGGAAAATTTGCTCTTTTACTTTCTTTTGAAAAGAGGATTTTTAATGCTTAACTGCATTAAATCAATACATCGGATGGAAAAAAGTACTTTAAGTATGGAATGTCTAGTTAATAAAGATGCTTGATTTTGCCTTTGTAATCTATGATTTCTATTGTAAAAGAAATTTGAAGTTCGTCAAGGTTTTTTTGCAAGCTTTTTAGATGACTCAACATTTTTTGGTCCTAAATTGGAGAAGAACGTACCATTTTGCTTTGTGACATCCATGTTTAATTGACTAATTTTCCAACTGATATTTTGATTTTGAAAACCAGCCTAGCTCAAAATATTTTGTCTTTCTATTGGAAGGTCAATTAATTAAAATGGTAAATGTAGTTCCTTCACCTAAAATTAGCGTGTGATTTTCTAGGGTAATGCCTTCTAGTCAAAGTTGTATTCATTAATCAGTCAGTGGCAAAATATTGGGAGCGTGTAGAATGCCATACGCATGTTTACTTCCATCATCACAGCAAAGAAAACACCCAATTTGTTTCTTAGGAACAATCCAATTTTCATACTAGCTTTTTTGAGTAATCTGGTTTTTAAAATTTTGATTTGCAGTCAAGCATTTCCTCGTTCAATACCAAGAATGGTATTGATTTCTGTCTTATCAATCTGTAATGTCAACCATCTATTCCATCCCTATTTTCTTCATCTCTCTCTCTCTTCTGGCTCCTCAACTCTCTTCTCATTCTTGTTTATTTAATGGCTCATTTTGCATCAGAGTTTTCTTTCCTTTTTTCTTGTGCTCTCTATTCTTGCCACTTCTTTTCAATTACTTCGTTCTCTCTCCTTTTCTTTCTCTTTTCCTTTCAAAATCCTCTTCTTTCAGTTTCATTCAAGCTGTTCACCACAAAACACAGAGCTGAATAGATAAACTCTCTCTGCATTTCAGTGATGCCCCGAATCATGCCGTTTTCATTTGAGTCTCCAATCTTTGCGGGTCAGGCTGCTCAAGTAACGTGTTTAGTGTCTGAAGGTGACTTGCCTTTGGACATTTCTTGGAGTTTCGAAGGGAAAGAAACGATGCCACAGTTAGGAATTTCAATAACAAAAGTTGGTCGCAAAGCAAGTATGTTATTGATTGAAACTGCTGGTTATGAACACAGAGGGAATTTTACATGTGTAGCGAAAAATCCAGCCGGATCAGTTAACTTCACTGCAGATTTGAATGTTCACGGTAAAGAACTTGTCACGTTCATGACTCGCTTGACAGATGGTCGAAACCTTGACTACCTAATTATGGTGTTTATTTTGCATGTTTCGCTGAAGGTGCACTTCATCAGAGACAAATAGTGCATTCTTATTTTGCCTTCAGTTTGCTGACTCATTACTTGTCAGTGACTCTTGTGTATATAATGTTTCTGGATGCGGAAATTGTACATTACATCAAGGCGGTCTTTTCTTGCATACCCTCCTATTTCCAGTATTTTTGTCTGAAATGATGCATTGTTATTATCTATTATTTTTTATTCACTCATTCCTCGAATTCCCCGTATATTCTCCTGAAATTAGGGTACTAATTTAAAAGGCATCTACCCTGCAGAGGGTGGCTAAATCTAATGCTCTGGTTTTTATTGTTAGTTTCTCTATACATAGCTGATGCGCAGTTTTTTTATGACTCATCAATTTTTATCAAAAACTTCATGAATATCCTTGTCACAATTCCATTTGATTTTTCCTCCTGCTTTCGTACAGTCATGCCCCAGATTGAAGCATTTGCGTTCAATCCCAATGGTGTCAACGGAGGAGGTTCGTTAAAAATCCTGTGCACTGTCATATCAGGCGACTCACCAATTCAAATTCAGTGGTTGAAAGATGGCCAGAGTTTGAACATGGAAAGATCTCACCATAAAGTTCAGCATCTAGATGAGCAGACAGTTTTACTTTCACTATCCCAACTCTCTCTCGAGGATTCTGGAAACTATTCTTGCACTGTAACCAACCTGGCAGGCAGTATCTCCCACTCATCTGTTTTAAAAGTGAAGGGTACTGAATTCAGTCAACTTTTTGACAGTTGTGTGTTAGCCAGTGCAGCATTAAAGCTTTCTAGGTGCATTTGTCAAGTATCTTTCTGCTTGCGTTCTTTCAGTCTCTCTTTCTATCCCATCTCGATAGCTCATTTTTTTTTTTTTTTTTTTTGGAGCAAAATTTTCAAACTTAAAACTTTCACCGCGCAATTTTTCCTCCATAACTACCTACTCGTCTTTCCCCTTTTCAAGAATTTTTGTACCCATCTTTTATCAATGTGTAGAAAGGCTTAAAATTTGAAGAAAATTAGACTGCTCTAAATAATGTTTTCCATCCTACAGCCGTGAACTGAAAAGTGCGTTATTCTCTAGAAAATTTCTGAAGGAACTCTTATTGCAAGGAAAGGAACTAATTATTCCTGGTGACTATGTGTTATCATCATTTTTTTCGTTTTTTGCATTTTCTATGCAAGTCACTGTTCTCCTTTTTGTTAAACTCTCGAATTGAAAGGAAATTTTTCTCTCTCAGAGATGCCAGTGATCCAGCCATTCAGTTTTGATGAAAATGGCATTAACGGCAAAGCTTCAACTCGAGTTATGTGTATGGTAAAGTCAGGCGACTTTCCAATGAGTATCAGGTGGCTCAAGGATGGAGAAATCTTAAAAAATGATGGAAGTAATAGAAAAACTGTTGCCCTTGATGATGCTACCGTGATTCTGTCACTCTCAAATTTGTCTCTGGACGATTCTGGAAACTACACTTGCATCGCCTCGAATGATGCTGGAAGCATGTCACATTCCTCCGTTCTGAAAGTCAAGGGTACTTACTCATCAAATCTTTTAGTAGCATGAGAATCTCTACAGTTGGTCTTGGCACTCTGTTTAGTATGACAAGTAGTGACGAGTAAGTAGTGAGATCTCGGCAGCCTCTCTTATGCCAAGAGAAGTCATTACTCTGTCGATTCCTGAAACATACCTATAAATCCCGGTTCCCCCTGCAATGTCTATTTTATGTTTGAAGGAAGGCTAAAATCATAATTTTGAACAAGGGCGTTAAGATTTGGTGTCTTTTTATCACTTTGAGCGTTTATGAAAGAAAACAAATTCGTACTGGTCAAATGCCTTCGACTCATATTTTATTTTGAGTAGATAAAATCAATGAGAAATTATTTGGTTTTAAAATGCCTATGTATCATAATTTTTACCAAATATATTCAGTCTGTCTCAGTTTGAGAAAATCTTGAAGTGTAATAAAAGATGATATTTCTTGCCAATTTCTCGCAGATGGACGCATTCGCGCTGTAGGTTTTCCTTTATATGCTTTTCTTCCCTTCTTTCATTTTTTCACTTCAGTTGAGGCGCTGAAGTAATGAATAGTTTTTTTCCACGCCTTTCTTCCTTGTCAAATGACTTACTGTCATATTTTCACTGTCCTGAGTATTTAGCCATTATTTGAAATTCCACACTAAATACCCAAGATTTTCTTTCTTTTCGCAATGAATTTTTTGTTAAGTATGTGTTCTATTTTGATTACATCCCGATTAGCACAGTACAGCAAAAAATTGAACTAATTTTGCAATGTAATTAAGTACAATATCAGTTTTTTTTACCATGAACTTTCAATATTTTTCTCATTTGGTCAAGAAATACAGTCAATAAGAAATGAGCTCGTATGTGAGATATGTAGGCAATTTGATGTGCAAAATCAGTGAACAGATATCATACACAACACTCCAATACATTAGCAATAATTTTACCATGTAATTACAAATTATTGCAGCTTGTGCCTCTTTGGATGATCTATTTCTAAAGAAGATGCATATTATTTTAAACTCTCAAAGATCTGAATAATTTTTTTTTAAACAATAATCTACGCTCTATTTCTATAACACATTTACATTGCAATAAGGCAGTGCAAAGAATTTTCCAATGGTTGTGACATCCTTGTTGAATGATAGCTCAAATGTAGCAGTCTTGCAGCAATCTTTAATGATTCAAGTCTTCTCCGTACTGAATGTATAATATTATGCTATTTTAAGCACATCTGACTTTTTGCCTGAATTCAGATATTATTTTATTGCTTCGTTTTCTAACTATAGGGAGTAAGATACCCATTTTCGTTAAAAGTTCAATTGAAAAAAATATTACGCTGAAAAGCATGGTATGTTAGGTAGATGTACTTGGTTTCCCGAAAAGAAATTTTAAAGTTGTATGTTCCTGAAAAGAAAATATAAAAAAATAGGTATTTACGATTGTTACACAAAGGTGCATCTCGTAGATTAGAACAGCTCATTTCGTAAAATTTGCGGAAAATCTCTTAAGTAATTAGCCAAGCTGTAAGACAAAATGCACTCTGAATCTGAAGTAGGTGACTGAACGACTTTCTATAGTGCTTTTCGTCCCCTTTCCTTTTTTCACAATTTTCCGTCTTGTAAATCCATATTATTGGAAGCTCCATTGAAAATTTACACATAGCACAAGAAGTAAAATCATCATGGTCATGGGTAAATTTGAGTAATTTTACGAGAGGATGCCATTATCAAGAAGTAAATTTAATTTTTGTAGAGGTAGGAGCCTGCTATTTTCCAGGAACAATTTTCAGAAGTAAATGTACATTACCCATGTTTACTTCCTAAATATTGAGACCTTCATCATATACTTCGGACTAAGGACTAGTGGTATTCTAAATTCTCTGATTCGTTTCATATTACAAGGTGAAATAATTAATCATTGCTTTAAGACTGGTGTTTTTTCCCCCCAAAACCATAATTTCCTCTGCGTAATATGGATTCATCGTTGGGTTGCAAACATTTCATGTGTGCAAAAGAGGTCAGGAAGTTTCATTTTTGTCTTAATAAAGTTTGTTGGCTTCTTCTCATGAACTCTTTTTGAGTATGTGGTTCTACTTCTACCAAATCACAACCATTGGTTGTGAATGGTTTGAAGAGTTGTTGGTAAATGGCATAATTCTCTGATGGTTGACTCCAATTGCTCTTGTTAACTTTGTAGTTCTATTTTCTTCGATTTTTATCCGTCTATTGGACGCGGACAAACTTGTTACATCAATTTGTTGTCTAACTTCAGCCACTATTCTCTAGTTCTTAACCATCGTTGCATAATTGTATTTGAGGTTATTTTGTGTAGGTTTCAGGAACTCTGTATCCTCTCCTCCATGTCCAAGATTTCCCATCTATGTTTTCTTTTGTTTTATTTTTTTTTTATCTTTAGTTGTGCCTTTTCCTTTTATTGGTTTAAGGCTTCTTCCTTTTTGTCTCCTCTTCTCCCCATTTTGTTTCTGTCACTACCTTTGCATGTAAATTTTCATTTTTATTTTTAGCTCTCTTCTTTGACTCTTGTGGCATTTGCATTTATTTATCGTTTTCTTACTTTAGTTTGGTATTTTTAGGTGTTTTTAATCTTGTCCATGTTTTTCTTTGTTTCATTTTTTATTTCTTATTTTTCAGTTTCTCGACTCAGTGAATTTGTCTTCATTTTTGTAAGGTCATAGAATGTAATCTTTTATATTTCTGATTATTTTGATTCCCTCTCTGCATTTCAAAAATTAGGAATCATGATTTTAAAGTTTTTAATAATAATTCTAAAATTTTAGGGTAAAAGAAGAAATACCCACTTTTCAACTTTGTAGATACCTTTTTATTTTCTTTCATGTAAGTAAATCTCTGCCTTTTATCAAGTATGAAAATTGAGGGCTAACGTCATAAAATGCGTATCTCTGTGGCAAGGTTTAAAAATCTCCTATCATGTTTTATTGTTTGAAAGGAGGAATATTCAAAATATCTCATTGGTATTATCTGGGTATATTTTTGAATGCCTGAGGATAAATCACATAATATTTTAAGGACTATTTTTGGTTATTTTTTTTCGGAAAACATGAAACATAAACAGGGATTTGCAATGTTCTCATACAAGATACCAATTTTCCGACCTCAGTCATTGATACACATTGTCCACCTGAAGCTCTAAAGTGTGTATAGTAATTTAAATCATTTTCGATTTTCTCTTTAAAAAATGCCCTACCTTTTTCCCAGCATGTTACCTATATGATGTTCTTCTACTTTTCATCACTCTTCTAACGTGCCTGCATTTTTTTTCTTTTTATTAAAATTAATTCAATTTTTTTGATTATTCATCGGAAAAGTTAGGTTATGCATGTGTAAGCTAGTGTTCTATGCTTCCTGTTGTATTGCAATATTTGGGAGCATGATTCCTTTTTTAACATTTTTTTTTTTATAAAGTATCATTTGTTTTGCCTCACTGGTCTGCTTTTGTAGTCAATAAATTTCAGTTTTATCAGAACCAAAACATGCCAATTCTCTTTACTGCATGTGCTTCCTTTTTTTTTGCTTTTCTTTTTATGTACATATGTATGTATAAAAAATGGGAAAAAACCCAATAAGGAAGAGAGAATTTTCCATTCTTGTCATCAAGTGGGTACGTGAAGTTTCTCCTTCAATTGACAATGAAAACATAAAATAATCCTTTCACCTCGAAAATTTTGTAATATTTCAATCCTAATTTTTTCTCTTTTCGATTGAGGGACTCAATACTCCGACCAATTTTATTGAGCAGTTTAAAACAATTCTAATCCTGCGCATCCCCTCTTTCTCAAAAATATATATCATCTACTTTTTTCTGAAGGATTATTCATGAAATTTCTCTCTTTCCTTTTTCCCCTTTTTTTGAAGTATATAATTTCCTCAGCAAGCTCGTTAGTATCTGCTCATTTCCAGCTTTAAATCATGTTACGCTTTTCTGAGAAATTAAAATTTCAAGATCATTCTTGCCACCATTTCTCAATTTTTGGGATTTATCGTCATGCATACATAGTTTGTTTAAGGTTCTTTAGCAGAACTTTTTTTTTGCTTGCATTAACTGACTTGCCTGTTGAGGAGTATTTTAAAGCCTCTACACAACTACTCTCAGTTAAACTAAGTCTGAGTTTCAATCAAGGAGTTGATTTCTTTGGATATTTTTGAAGCTTCATAATCAAGTACATATGCATTTTTCCTTAAGACGCCTGAGAGATGATTGGATTTTCACTCTCTTTTTTGACTTGTGAAGAAAAAAGAAGAAAGAGCTGAAAAAACCCTTTTTCTTTTGAAACTATCATTTTAGTTGAGAGTGTGAGAGTTGAAACTACATGTGTAATTACCAAATTAAGATGTAAGGATACAAATGTGTGACAATTCTATTGTCCAACCACAGAGTTTAAAATTGTGAAGGCATTCATATTATATCAATATCTAGCTGTTTTTATAATATTTTAAAAATACCCATCCTTATAAATGTGTCTTACATAGCTAGTTGAGAACATTCTCAGTCTTGCTTTTTCATCAGATTTTAATCTTTAATCTCTAACCGCTATTCAAACCCGCTTTCTGATATCTGGAGAGAAGTTGTGTTTAGGCAATCAAACCCTGTTATGTATTTTTAACCATTTTGAGAAAGAATAAAAATCTCATATTTTAAATTTTGCCTTGAAAGCACATAATTATATATTTTTGTGAAGAAAAACGATTTAACGATACTTGATTAATGAAATTAAAATAGTTGCAAGAATCTAAGTAATTTTTCTTTTCAAGAAAACTAGCACTACCTTAAAAGTAATTTCTGTAACATCACTATTATGATGAAAAATAGAGTAACCTTTTAGAATTAAAAGCTGTGCGACTCTTTGATAAAACACCAGAAATATGCTCATGAGTCTAATGACAATAGTTTTGTCGTTGTAAAATTTACCTTAAAATATTTTTGTCTTAAAAAAAGTTACAAAACAAAAAAAAAACACCATTATTATTAACTGTTCTTATGTCAGGTTTTTTTTTTAGAGCTCTAACGTTGAATTATTTGTTTTTTTAACACAGTTCCGCCAAGGTGGATTGTTGAACCCTCTGACAAAGCATTTGCCCAAGGCAGTGACGCTAAGGTTGAATGCAAAGCTGACGGATTCCCACGGCCACAGGTTGCTTGGAAGAAGGCTACAGGTAAGGTTTTTTATTCTTATCTGCTATGAGTTCATACATATTCCTCAATAGATCGGCGAGTTTATGTTGCAAAAAACATAAAATACATCTCTCTACCAGACCCCCTCAACCTCCCCCCCTACTTCTAAGCACACAATATCCTCCTATCAAATACACGTTGAACTAATCCTAAAAGCCACTCAAACTCTCTTACATGTGTGTAAAATGTCAAATTTTAAAATCTTTTGCCATGGAAGGGATACAATTCTTCCATCTAGTCCCTTTTTGATTTGTAAGAGAGATTCTTAGTTGGTAATGTTAATATACGTAACTAGAGCTCTTTGGAGTCTACAGCTCAGTGATTTCAGCAGTGTGGGGTTTGTGGATCTTCCACGAAAAAGTGTAAATTTAATGTTATTGCTTTAACAGGTAAATCCCCTGGAGACTACAAGGATTTAAAACCAACATCCAATGTTAAAGTTGAGGATGGAACTCTATCAATAAGCAACATTCAAAAGAATAATGAAGGATATTATCTTTGCGAAGCAGTCAATGGCATAGGCTCAGGACTCTCGGCTGTTATCATGATCAGCGTTCAAGGTATGTCTGTCCAAAATCAATCTTGAAGATGACACTCAAATTTATATTTTTTAAAAATATGTATGGAAAATCTGTAAAGAAGGGTTTTAGCCGTATTTTTTAAGATTAATTTTTTATTGTTTCGATTTGCAAAAAAATCCCTTTGAAGCAAAGGTGAAGTACCCATCATGAATTTTTATCATTTTACAGTAAAAGAACAACAATGAGTTATCTAAAATTATAACAAGGATCGTATAATGATTAACAGGAATTAAATTAACAAATGTTACTTATTAAGAAGGTTGATGGTTATTTTCATGCAAAAATTAATTCACATGATTAGAAGCCTTCACGATATGATAGTTTCCCGCCAACTACGATTTTGCTCTCCTGCGAACAACGATTTGTCCAAGTATTGATATATTTGAATGAAGCTGTTACTTATCAAGTCACTCTGATTTTTCATGTTTATCGACTTTGACTCAATAATTGGGCGGTTCAAACGCTCAACTTTTATAATAAGTGCAAAGAAATAAATTGTAAAATCTTAAAGGCAGAAAATCGATATGAGACAAAAGTAGCACTTTTCATACTACCGTCTCTCTACATTATACGAATCCGTAAAACTAGGCTGTGGAAGAGAAACCACAGCCTAGTTTTACGGCGCAGAGGGAAGAGAGTAAATGCTGGACCATTAAAAAATGAAGTTACCATCAAATTAAGCTTTACTTTTATACATTTTTTACTTAGAAAGTAAATCTGATTAACTTTTTTTTTGGATACCATAAGATTCAAGAACTAGAATCTTTGACTCACTCGCATTATTATTTGTAATTTTCTAGCTCCTCCCCAGTTTGAATTTAAACTCAAGAATCAAACTTCGAGACGTGGGGAACCAGCCGTTCTTCAGTGCGAGGCGAAAGGTGAAAAACCAATTGGTATTCTGTGGAACATGCACAACAAACGCCTGGACCCAAAAAGCGATAACAGGTTATACATTTGCACTCTCTGAAAATATTACATCTTTGAAAAAATCTCATGCCATCTTGCATATTAACTTATTTTGGCATCACAGATTCTACATGACAGCATGCATAGTAATAAATAAATAAAAGTAACTAATGTATTCAGTCAGATTGCATCGCTCAAATGTAAACATTTTTTTATAGAATGCTGTCATATCATCTGGGAATGTTGCTGTCTGTTAGCTACGTTTTGGATGGGGTGATGGTTCTCTAGCTTTGAAAGAAAGTAAAACAAGCGGGAAAGTTCTAATACTGTCGTATTAGAAAAGCGCTCAGGTGTTAGTAAATGTATTTAGTGAAGAAAGGAAGTATAAACTCCATCGACTTGGCTGAGAAATGAAAATAAAACATCAGCTGATTGCAAACAAAGGGTACCAAGGAAACTGTAAACGCGTATTTTCGTTTCCCGAAAATGAGCTCACCGTTGAGCTCATCAGGCGCGTTTTTTTTAGGCTTCATTTGAGTTCAACGATCAATTTCGATAAGAATTACTCTACCGCTAAGAAATTTTCTTATAGACAAACGATCGAAACTACCTGCGCATTACGTTAAAAGCATAAAATACAGTTTTCACAGCTTTATTTATTTTAAAAATGGACCCCCCCAAAAAGCCTACACATCGATGAGCTGGTGCGCCATTTAAACGTATTAGCACTAGTATACTAGTACTCAGAGGCAAGTCAAAATCAAAAAGCGCTGCCTATCGGCTGAGCACTTAAAAGAGGAGAGGGGACTCCACAGAATGTTACTGATACAGTACTTTCTCTCTGTAACGAGGAAATCAGTCGGTCCCTCGAATTTCCTAAATTAAATATCGATTATTGTAATAACAAGAATCTCTCTGTATCAACGAAATCAGCCGGTCCCTTGAGTTCTTGTTACAGAGAGAAAGTACTGAAAGTAGTTAAAAGAGTTGATAAACAGTTTTTCTCCTCTTAAAACCGGCTTACAATTGAGTGGCTCTATGAATTTTGCTTTAAGCAGTTAAGTTATGGTTCCCCTTTTTTAATTTTATGCTCACGAACGTTTAAAACAAAAAGCCCTGCGTAAAATTTTACATTGGTTTTCCTTACCAGCACATAACATCATATAATTTTTTACCACTTTTCTCTTGTTTCAGGTATACTATCCATGAAGAGATCTTACCCAATGGCGTTTTATCAGACTTAAGTATTAAAGCTACTGAAAGAGGAGACTCGGCGCTTTTCACTTGCGTAGCAACCAACGCCTTTGGAAGTGATGATACAAGCATTAATATGATCATCCAAGGTAATTAATTTTTTGCGCCATAATGATTATCTCTAATTTTATATTTTTGTAGGCCGCAAGTTTTTCAGTTGTACATGTACAGTTGGTTGGTAAATGTGTTTAATAAATTAATGTATGCTCTATAGGTTTTCAAGCATTGCCTGGATTTGAATTAATTAATTTTGAGTTATCAAAAAAGAAGAAAGGGAACAAGGCTTAAAATTTTATTTTAATTGTATTCTTTTGTTGCCTCTTCTTATCCGAACATGAGTCCTTTCACAATTAATGAGCCAAAATAACCAAACTAATCAACAAACAAAAGGAGGTTTAAATAATTGGACCCTAAACTGCGGAAGTATTTGACAAGGACTTAAAAACTTAGAATAATTATTTCCAAAGGGAGTTTTGAGGCATTTTTCTCCTCAAATAAAGAAACTATCTAAATTTTTTTTTTTGTAATTTTGCAGAGGTACCAGAAGTACCATATGGCTTAAAAGTTCTAGACAAGTCAGGCCGTAGTGTCCAGCTGGCCTGGTCCGCTCCTTATGATGGCAACTCACCTATCAAACGATACGTAATTGAATACAAAATATCCAAAGGATCTTGGGAAACAGACATTGATCATGTTCTCGTGCCTGGTGAACAAACGGTTGCAGGAGTCTTTACTTTACGTCCAGCTACAACTTACCACTTCAGAATTGTTGCAGAAAATGAAATTGGGTCCTCAGAACCATCAGATACTGTTACGATCATCACAGCAGAAGAAGGTATCAAATCCTCCATAATCTACTTTAAAAATTGGGTTCTTGACACAAATGTAACATTTTTAGAAACCATCTAAAGAACCTTTATTCTCGTGAGATCAAAATAATTAGTCCAGTTAACAAATATTTATAATATTTCTGCAAACCTGTAACTGATGCTGCACTTTGGTTCGTCAAAGTATTTAAAAAGACTTAATATTTCAAAAATTTTCTCCTTCGCACTCATTCTAATATGTGAAAATTTCTTATCATTATCGCAAACTGTAAAACAGTCCTCTATAGATATCCTTGTGCTTTTGGCTCTTGTCAGTACATTTTATAATTTTTACTTTTCAGCACCAAGTGGTCCACCGACTGGTGTCAAAGTTGATGCTGTCGACCAGTACACTCTGAAGGTTATGTGGAAACCACCCGAGCGAGAACATTGGAATGGTGATATTCAAGGATATTACGTTGGCTACAAACTAACTCAAACAGCTGATAAACCGTACATTTTTGAAACAGTTGAGTTCCGTAAGGAGGAAGGGAAGGAGCACCACCTACAGATTGTCAATCTGAAGTAAGATGTTCTATTCATTTCTAACGGAAAATTCATCAAAAACTTAATTAAAAATTATTAATAGATAGTTAAGCGAGATCCTTTTGTCTAGTAGAGAAGGGAATTGAGTTCCTTGTTCACAACAGTGAATTTGGATTAGTTCCAGCACATGTTTTTTAGAACTTTTACAATTTCTTGAAGTACTAAGAAAGAAAGAATGAATTTATTTTAGCAACCACACTAGAGTTGTACAATTCGTAGTTAAAATTAAACCGATAAACTAACTCTTTTAACTTGAATAAAACAAGTTCCTCTTTTCAAATATTCATTCGAAAGATTGTTTCTTTTACAAGGTTATAAACTACAGGTATATCCAACCGCCAACTTTTCTGCCAAAATTAAACTAACACTCCCATCGCATTAAAAAAAAAAAATTCAACTTTATATGAATGTACTGATTGTAATATTTTTAGACCTTAGAATGCTTACTTTGGAAAGTTCAGTTGAATTTTTTAATTTTAGTTTGAACCTCATCAGATACACTCTAGAAGTTGCAATGAAAATCGCCATAGCTGCATTTCCAAAAATAAAGAAAAAAAGAGAGGGAACACCGCCGATAAACAAAGAATAAACTATACAAAACATTGCCAGAATTTGCCAGTCTCTAATTCCCTCCTAACATCATTTCTAGAACCTACACACAATACTCTGTAGTAGTTCAAGCTTTCAACAAGCTTGGAGCCGGCCCAATGTCCGAAGAAGTGAAACAGTACACGGCTGAGGGCACCCCAGAGCAGCCTCCTCAAGATCTAACTTGCACGACGCTTACATCACAGACCATCCGAGTTTCATGGGTATCGCCCCCTCTGGAAACAGCTAACGGTGTCATCAAAGGTTACAAAATAGTCTACGGCCCCAGCGACAGTTGGTATAGTAAGTTCATTCAAAGTTTTACATCTCCTACTCAACAATGATATTAGCTCTCAGTATTATTTGAATTCCGTATTTCATTTGAATGTTACGGTTTTCTACTATCTAATAAAACCTCTTACGCTTTTTCTCCCACACGATTTTTTCATGGTTTGTCTAGTCCATCGTTTCAACTTCACCCAAAGGTATTTTTATGATCCTCCTTTTTACTGTAAATTTTAAGTTGATCCAGAATTTTCGCCTTAAAATTTTTCTGTCCTGTCATCAAATATGTAAATATATCTGCGAAAGTTGTATGATTCTGTGGAAGATTAGACATTCTTTTGTCGAAAAGAGAATATAAAGTATTGTAAGCTTTTTTATGAAAATAGATAGACCGAGAGCTCATGACGATTCGTTCAACCGGAATAATATAAATTTGCCACCCACCTCATTCGAAGCGGATTTTGGTGTGTAAAAAGAAATGGGCGGTCTGGCAGGTCAAACCGGTTGCATTAAGAAAGTTTTAGGCCCCTAAAAAGCCCAAAAATTGCTCGGAATTTGACCGGAAACATATACACTTGAAATTGGGCTCATTTAACGCGGAAAACCTTCCTGATTGAGGATCAGTCGGTCTGGCAGCCGAAATCGGTTGCTTAAGGGCCGCCAGACCGGTTCAAAGTTGGAAAAAAAGTGCTCAAATTTCAACCGGAAACATATACATTTGATATTGGGCTCATTTAACGCGGAAAACCTTCCTGATTAAGGATCAGTCGGTCTGGCAGCCGAAATCGGTTGCTTAAGGGCCGCCAGACCGAAATTTCTCCGGAAATTCTTGATTAATTATATATATGTAAGGTGGCCCAGACCTAGTATTCCAGGCCTTTTTTCAAGGAAAACTGGTTTTGATGTTTTGAGAAGTGGTCAGTGGAATAGGGAATGGACCAAAAAGAATCCAAATTTCATATATTCAGGACCCCTCACGACTCTTTAGGGGGTATTTTTTTGGGGGCCCCCTTTGTAACTAAAAATTGCGTTGAAAAACGTGGTCATTTAAGTTCAATGAGAATGTTCAAGAGAAACACGCATGTTGAGGTTTAAGATTCCCAAAGGGCTTCCCACAGTAGGATGTGTCTTTTTCGCAAAAGTTTCAAATAGTCCCGCTCCACCGGGTTTTCCTGGTGATGCCTGGCATTAGGATCGCCTACTAAAAATTGGAACTTGATTGGACAATTTTTGGACCTACCGATACACTTTAAATGCAAATTTGGATCCGTAGGTCCAAAGATTTAAAAAAAAATAGATAAATAAATTTATAAACCAAAAAATCAAAACTAGCTGAGTGAAAAACGTCGGTCATATGAACCAAACGTACGGTGTTCAATATCGGCCGTATTGTTCGGTGCTGTAGCCCTCCCGGTCCTAAGAACCGTATCCTCCGTTCATGCAACCGAGCACCCACACCGAACAGAACTAACGAAAAAACTCGGTTGCATGAACTGAGGATGCGGTTCCCAGAACCAAGAGAGCGGTTACATGAACCGAAAAATACGGCCGGTGAACACGGTCGTGTGAACACCGTTCACACGACTGAACTTTTTTTCTCAGCTGGTCCTGTACCGGTATGGCGGTGAAAATTGACGAAAATGGGGAGTTCTTGCGATTTTTTCTCTCCTCTCCAATCTCCTCTTCTTAATCGGAACGACCACAAAGTATCTTATTATATTTTCCTAAGTTTACAATAAAGCAAAGAATCGAAAACAAATTTGGGTTGTATTTAATCGTGGGTTTATGTGCCTCTCATGATACTATTAAGTCGACCTATTGGTCTGTATGACCAGCCTGAGATGACGTCCCTGCAGTAGGGTATGGTTCTTATCTAACGACAGCAGGGTGAATAATGGAATTTCTCAAGCAGCATCCCCTGGATCGGTATTATTTAATGTGAAGGACTGTAAAAAAATTGGAGTCCCTCACAGCAAGGTCACATGATGCCGCAAACGGGGGAAAGTTCTCGCGCTTTAATTTGAGGAACCCGCATTCTTACGGTCTTTGCCGATTGGACAAGTGTTTACGTGGAAGCTGTAGATACTATCGACACCCATTATTTTTCATCATTTAACTCCGGTACAGAGTAAAATATTTTAAGATACTCGTATCTGGTCTTCAATGATTACCTACCTCTCGAACGGCGGGATGAAATGACCTCAAAAACCGGATTTTAACGGCAGACATCCATTTTTTCGAAGTTTTCCCTCCCTATCGGCGAATTGAAAGTCTGAAGAAACATCATGGTCTTACACGTGTCACTAATTTTTGCACAAAATATTGAAACAGATTTGGTCTCGGAATAGCAATTGCCCTCTCACGCGGTGGGCTGAGGCACACCTAAAATGCAATTGCCGCACTTAATACCACAAGAGTTGTCCTTAGTGTGAGACTTGTTTTACATAATATAGAACAGAGCAGGAGCATGATATTATCATAATCTTTATCTCTTTAAGATAATACTTTTTATCAAAAAAGATGAGTTTACGGAAAGATTTGACACAATATCCTCCCCTGAGAGGATCTTCCTCTCTCATCTTATGAGACATATTTAACACGTAAATACCAATGATACCAGCCCGTATGCTAGAGACTTTAGCTGCGGATTCACGTAAATAGAAAAAATAAACAGAACAAGCTGAAAAGTCTACAACGACCGATAAACTAACAATGATTAATGCTGTTTTTAGTGCAGAAATTGCGTTTTAAGAGTACCGGTAGGTCCAAAAATTGTCCAATCAAGTTCCAATTTTTAGTAGGCGATCCTAATGCCAGGCATCACCAGGAAAACCCGGTGGAGCGGGACTATTTGAAACTTTTGCGAAAAAGACACATCCTACTGTGGGAAGCCCTTTGGGAATCTTAAACCTCAACCGTTGCCTACGAGAATGGAGAGGCCGTAACTAGTCAGTTCTGTGACGTCAAGCTAGTGGATATTTACCGAAAACAACAAGCATCTCCGGGTCATCAGTGCATCGATGAGTGAGGCAGTCGCTGCGTGGACCAATCAGAGTGGCTCTCGATCGGCCGAAGTTGCGCGAGCGGCCCGTTTGAATCTGAGTGGAGTAACGATTTTCGGTATTACGCATTCATTTCCTCGATATTTAGACAATGTCACAAATGAACTAGTTAGTTTTCTAAAGTGAAATTTCATCCTCTTTCTAAACGGTTCTTATGAAATTTCGCGTCAGATCAACCCTGAAAGAGATATCGGCGAGAAATCATCGCGCGGCAAGCGTTCTCCCATAAGAACGCGTGTTAAACCGCGGCCGAGTTTCATCTACTAGTGTGACGTCACAGAATCGTAGTTACGGCCTCTCCATTCTCGTAGGCAACGCCTCAACATGCGTGTTTCTCTTGAACAATTAAGGTAAGGCTTTTGACATGGAGAGGACTAACGGGGCTTGCGCAGTGCGCCCTTTCCCCGCATGACCTTGGGGAGTCCTCTTAGGTCTTTTAAACCTAAAATATCGTGTTTTCCATGAAAAGTTACCCTATAATAGCTCAGAATTGCAGCTTTTCCAGGGTTGTTAGTTCATTTGAAAGAAAACTGGTGTTCATCGTGGGGAGCTCAAGCACGGTACCACCAGCCGTAGCCCCCCCCCTCTCTCTCTTTGGAGGGTCTTTAATTTGATTGCAAATTGAGAGACGGAATATTCTTTTACTCCATACTTATTGAACTTTTGCGTGGACTCCATTCTCATTGAACTTAAATGACCACGTTTTTCAACGCAATTTTTAGTTACAAAGGGGGCCCCCAAAAAATACCCCCTAAAGAGTCGTGAGGGGTCCTGAATATATGAAATTTGGATTCTTTTTGGTCCATTCCCTATTCCACTGACCACTTCTCAAAACATCAAAACCAGTTTTCCTTGAAAAAAGGCCTGGAATAGTAGGTCTGGGCCACCTTATATATATATAATTAATCAAGAATTTCCGGAGAAAGTTCGGTCTGGCGGCCCTTAAGCAACCGATTTCGGCTGCCAGACCGACTGATCCTTAATCAGGAAGGTTTTCCGCGTTAAATGAGCCCAATATCAAATGTATATGTTTCCGGTTGAAATTTGAGCACTTTTTTTCCAACTTTGAACCGGTCTGGCGGCCCTTAAGCAACCGATTTCGGCTGCCAGACCGACTGATCCTTAATCAGGAAGGTTTTCCGCGTTAAATGAGCCCAATTTCAAGTGTATATGTTTCCGGTCAAAATCCGAGCAATTTTTGGGCTTTTTAGGGGCCTAAAACTTTCTTAATGCAACCGGTTTGACCTGCCAGACCGCCCATTTCTTTCTACACACCAAAATCCGCTTCGAATGAGGTGGGTGGCAAATTTATATTATTCCGGTTGAACGAATCGTCATGAGCTCTCGGTCTAAGACCAATGTATCTCTGCAGTATGAGATTCGCCCTTTCTACGTTATCCCAAATGCTTAACTTGCCTTGGTTAAATCAGTTGACTCTTGCTGGTCTATTCAACTGAGCAGAATTCTATGCCATAAATCCTTACCTTATAATCAATTGCCTTAAAATCGCATGCATTAACCTTTTTATAGTTAATTAACTGAGACCAAAGAAATAACATTCAACAAAAAATTACATTTGAGCTTACTCTTTTACTGAACTAGTAGCATAAAGAACCTTAATCACAATTTAGGTGCCTAAGTAGGGAAATATTTGTTTAGATACAGTTTTTATTTAAAATGAAATTTTCATTTTTTTTCTCTCAAATTTTTAACTTGTTTTTTGTTATTTTTTAGATGAGTCTACGAAAGATACAAAAATTACGTCTGCGAGCGAAACTATCCTGCATGGTCTGAAGAAATTCACAAATTACACAATGCAAATCTTAGCTTACACTGTTGGAGGAGACGGAGTCAAAAGCAGTCCAATCCATTGTCAAACTGAACAGGATGGTAAGAGAGGATGATTTTATTTGGAAAAATGTGGTTACTCTTCAATCAGAGCACTACTAGACCCCAGTATTTTGCTTGTTCCATGTGGTGACGAGTGATTTATTTCTCGCAATTAATTCATCGAATAAATGAGTGAAGAATTATTCTACAAAATCCCAGAAGATTTACTCTCACGCTTTTTTTTTTTTTTTGCAAAAAACTTAGATTCTATCCATTTTTTGACCCATAGCATCATTGGCGTCATTTCTGGATGGGAGTTAACTGAAGTTAATTTTTTTCCATCAATCCTTTCAAACACAGTTTGAACAGTACAGCTTGAAGACAATTTTTTTTGGAAAAAAATCAAAATGGTTGATACCAGCAGCAAAAATATGATCTTGGCATAATTCTTCAGGTCGCAGGTTACGAAGGGCTAATGCACTCTTGTATCACTTCATTTGTAAGTGGCAGTGTTTGCTAGGTAGTCGTTGATCATTAGTTGAAGGAATGGATCATCATAGCTCATACGGAATTACCAAATACGTACACAACTAACTCCTATTTCAAATCTAATGTGCCATTCTTGGAATATTTCCAGTCCCTGAGCCGCCAATAGCTGTGAAAGCACTTGTTATGTCGGAGGAATCTATTTTAATCAGCTGGAAGCCACCAATCCAACCCAATGGGATAATTACTCAGTACACTGTGTATGTAAGAGTGGATAGTGAAGAAAACAAGGTAAGTTACTTTAATTTCCTTTGATATTTAAAATAATATCTCAAAATAGCTGAAATAACAAATGATTTTAGAAAGGTTTTCATAAGAAGAGAAAAAAAAAGAAGGAAAGAAAGGACCTTAAATCAAATAAAACCATACCGTATTTTGCTACTTTCAAGTATCTATCCCTATACCCCTGTTCAAGTGCAAATTTTCTATTTGAGCATTTGTGTATCACACCTGCCACAGACACGTAGGTAATAAAGTTAATATACTGTGATTATAAATAAAATCAAGGTCTGGTGATTTTTTTTGTGCTGTCAGGAAATGCTAGGTTAGTGATCAAAATGTGCAGAAAATCCAGCTGTATAATTTCAAAGTTATTCTGATACTCTCCTTTATGATACAAGGCGTCATATGATTGGTTTTCGCACTTTCTTAAGTTTTTGTTATCATCTTTTTTCTTCTACTATTTTCTATTCTTACTTTAAATATTAATACTGAATGTTCTTTGGTGCAAAGGAGGAGCCAAGCAGTCAAAAAGTTCCGCCATTCCAAATGAGTTACGAAGCATCCGGATTGAAACAAAGTGAGCGCTACGAATTTTGGGTCACTGCCTCGACCAATATTGGAGAAGGCCAACCTTCAACTACTGTCGTTCTTTCACCGAGTAACCGAGTCCCTGCCAAAATTGCCTCATTCGATGATGTTTTCACTGCCACGTATAGGGAAGACGTGAAATTACCTTGTTTGACCGTTGGCAACCCAGCTCCGGAAATTGCTTGGAAAGTAAAAGGTGTTGACTTTGAATCGAATGAAAGAATGCGTCAGTTACCGGAAGGATCCCTGCTTATCAAATCAGTAACACGGACGGATGCTGGAGAGTACTCTTGCTCTGTAGAAAATAACTATGGCCAGGATTCAGTCACTCATCAGCTCATGATCCTTGCTCCTCCGCACAAGCCAATTGTCACTTTGACCTCGTCGACCACCAATTCTATAACGATGAAGCTTCAACCGCACCAAGGTGACACAGAACCGATTCATGGCTATACTGTTCGCTACAAGGCTGAATTTGGAGAGTGGGAGTCCATTCAGGTTCCAGCTTCTGCCCAAAAGTATACCATCGAAAACCTTTGGTGTGGGTCTAGATACCAGATTTCTGTAACTGCGTATAATGGGTCAGTATTTTTCAGCGAACCTTTTTAATGTGAACGTCTTTTATACTTTCAAAATTTTTTCATTGGCTCAAGTCACGCGGAAATAAATTATCGGTGAATAATGAATTTTCAAAAAAGAAGTCTGTTCAGATATTGTTTTATTTGTTTTTTTAAAATGAATTTTCATCGCTGAGTTGATGCGTTTTATGCCTTCTTTTATCATGGTAAAAGAAGTAGAAAGAGAAAAAAAAATAATTTGATTGTATAATTGTCACAAGCATTTCCAAAACTTTTAATTTCATATTTTATAATCAATTGTAATGCTTGTTTCGAAATCGTCTCTCCTTCATTAATCATATTTATGGAAGATTGTTTTGTCTAGAATAATATGTAACCAATAAACTTAATTATTTTTGCCATTCCTGCCTACCTGGTGTATAAATTCTACTCAATCACTGAAATTTAGATTTTCTTCAGTATAACACAGTTTTACAAGATGTATACTCATACTGAGTATCCTGTATATATTATTTCTATTTCAAAGTGTAGTGTAATAAAATTCCAGGATAAGAAACTTTGATAATTCTAACTTCTCTTCCTGTATTTTCATCTTATTTGGGGTAAAATAGTGTGTGAAGGTCTACAGTTTTCCAATCAATACCAGATCTTATCCTCAAAATTATACCTCCTGTTTTGGTTTCAGAATTGGCACTGGTGATGAATCTGATGTTTTAAACACAAGAACCAAGGGTTCCAAACCAGTCATACCAGACGCTAGTAGGTTCATAGAAATTTCAACAAACAGCATAACCCTTCACTTAAGTGCTTGGTCTGATGGTGGCTGTCCAATGCTCTATTTCGTAGTCGAACACAAGAAAAAGTGAGTGTGAGCCCTTTCAAGCATTTTTCTTTTTAGCTTTCCTTCAAATTCGTTTTAGATTGAATTTTTTCCAAGCGTAAATTTTGCTGCTGTTCGTGATTATGTAGTATATTTCAAAAATCTCAGAAGTTGGAATTCTATCATGATTAACATCATTACAGAATCTCACCTTACTTAAGCTGGTGTAAAGGAACAAAAACAAGTGTTTTTGTCTTCTCTAGAAAGTCTTTGGTAGACCACTTTACTACTGATCATATTTAAAACTTTTCACATGGAAATCGAAAGACAAAATGGCACATGCTAGATTTGATGTTCTTAAAATCAGTTGCCTTGCTTGCGAATTACTCTTAATAGCTAGGGAAGCTTAATTTCATTCGAATGCATGCCAATGAACACATGAACAGTTTTTCCACTTTAAAATGTGGAATTTTAGAAATTTCAAATCTTTTCATTACATCCTAATTAAAAAAGTACAAAGCGATGATGCGTAAGAGCTCGATTTTTTAAAAGTTTCTGAAAGAAGCATTTTTTAAAATTGAGTTAAAGAAACTAATTTTCATAAAAACACTAACTATATGTGGTTTTTCAGGACACTCACTGAATGGATTCAAATCTCAAATAATGTGAAACCTGGTGGGAACTTTGTAGTACTGGATCTAGACCCTGCAACGTGGTATGTTTTACGTGTTACGGCCCACAATAATGCAGGTTTTGCTGTCGCTGAGTATGATTTTGCAACTCTAACGGCCACCGGAGGTATTTCAAGATTAATTTTCTTCCTTTTAAATTGAAACATTTTTTCTAGTAGTTCCTAAGATAATTATAATTCTAAAAAAATGGGCAACTTTCAAGAGAAGCAACAAAAAATTGCTCCAGAAGTAAAATAAATCAATATCAGAATTTTTTCCACTGAGTTATTTCTATTCTCTTTCATGTCAGAAGATGCTCCATGACACATTACATTTCAAGATAATTTGTTTTATATGGTTGGCAATCTAAAATTCAAATGAAAGTAAATTGTGTTAAACATTATTTTGTGCCTCGTTGAGTTACGCCATGGCTACAACAGTGCGCCTCAATCACACTTTTAATTTGTGAGGAGGAGCAAAAATTCCCTCAGAATTGAAATACATTCATTCTTGATCAGCGTTGTCTTTGACAAGTTCCACCTCTTCTTACTATCTGTCGGAGTATTTCCCTCCATGAAAGTCGTTTTTTTCACAGATTGAAATTAAGGAAGTATGTTTTCCTACAGCAAGATGATTGTCCATTTTTGTTATTGTTTAATTAATTAATTTTGATCAATTCCTGCAGCAATAATATCAAATATGTAAAAAAAAGGCATACTATTTCTTAACATAAATGAGACAATCTTCAATCACTGAAAGTGGAAGAGTAGAATATCGGAAGCCACTTTAAACTTTTTAGAAAACAGTATGCTTATTTGAACATAAAATCTTGATTTTCCTCCGTTGATTGATTTATATTTTTTTTAGTAATTCATTCCATCATGCTCATAAGTGGTACACATACAAAATGATCTTGCCATCATTTTCTGTGTTTGAATAAAATTACTTTTAAATCCTATAGAAGGGGAATAGGTTTGGAAAAAAACTACCCATGTTTAAGTAGAACCTTGAGACTTTGGCCATTATCAAAAGAAAATTTTGAAAATGAAAGTTATTATGTACAATTTTATTTTTCTTTTGAAAGCACAATTGGCATTTAATGTTTGACCTGGAAAAAGTCAGACATGTAGGGCTGTCCAGTTATATATGCAGCCAATGAAATAGAATTGGATTTAATTAGCTCTAAATTAAATGGCTTTAAATTTGCTAAAATCTTGAACTGAAATTGGTGAATACGGGTTGATTTCAGGAACAATAGCCCCGGCCAGGGAGCTACCTGATTTCGGAGGCTCAAGCGAAGCCACAATCCGCCTCCTCCTGGCAAATGCTTATTTAATTGTTCCTGTCGCGTGCTCAATTCTAGTCGTCATTGTAGCCGTTTTTGTTTTATGTTTCTTCCGCGACAAGCGCATGAATAACAAAGGTAAGAAGAGTCAAGTAATTCAACGTTTTGTTTGTAGGTACTATTGCACCAATCCAACTTGATCCAATTGCGATCCATGAGTACCTGCCGTGGATTCCACCGTGGATGGATTTCAATATCTTCATATCAGCCGCTGTCTCACTTCTCGTCTTGCTCGTTGGCATGATCGTCATTTGTTATGGTATCATGCACCGACACCGTGGTCCAGAATCGACTAGACTACGAGGTGGCTTTTGAAATTTTCATTTTCTATCCACCTCTAAATCCTTTTAACTAGCCTTTCCTCTATATTGACCGACTTTTTTAAAAGAAGTCAAGTAAATTTTGGCTGTGCCATTTGTCAAATGAGTGGCACTTGATCAGAGATGATGGAATCATGTATATAGGAGATGTGAGTTTTGCGAAGGTTTTCGAAGTGTTGATGTTGCAGTTATGAGTTTTTAAACTATTCAGAGCATCAATTATTAATCTCAATTATATTTCCAGCGTTTGAAACACCTCATTTAAACCTGCATTTTTGCAAGGTGAAAATTCTGAAACTTCAGGCTCCATGATGCCTTTGGTCAAAGAAAGTTCTCTTGTGATGAATCTTTAATTGTGAGAAAATTTTATGGTACAGATTTTGTCCTGTCAATGAACCACCACACAGGGTAAAAAATTAAGCCCTACAGCGCAAGTTTTCTCATAAAAATTTCACTTGGATGATCCCAAAATCTTGTTGAAATATTCTCGCTTTGTGATGTAACACGAGCACTCTTTTATTTACAATAATTGAATGACTTATACTTAAAAACAAGAATCGTTTAAAGGAGTGCAATGAAAGTCAAGCATTTTTTTATTATTAGATGTGCTTTCTCTCATGTGTTCAACTTTTTATTTTCAGATGATATTGTGTACAACCAATCGATGGTTGGCGGTAACACAATGGACAAGCGAAGACCAGACTTACGAGATGAACTTGGCTACATTGCTCCCCCGAACCGTAAACTCCCACCAGTCCCAGGTTCCAACTACAATACATGTGACCGAATCAAAAGAGGTGCGACCATAAGTAAGACCAATCTATTCCTTTTAAACGTTTCAGTGTTGGACCCTGTCTTTGTTGCTTGCTTGAGTGTTGTTTCCAGCTTGAGCAGTTCAGTTCAACACATCCTCTTACCCCTTCAATTTTGGTATGCGTACCACGCAGCACTTAATATAGAGCACTCGAGGAAACTTGAAATTTTGAGCAACACAGTATCTTCCTCTTTTTTTGAGATTTATGGGAATTAACAATAAATGCTGCCATACCCAAAAATTTAAAAAAAATGGTTTGAACGGTGAGTGCTCAAAATTTGAAGGTCTGTAAGTAAGTATCCAGGAAAATGTCAGAGAAAATGAAAATTGTTTATTTCTAAAACTATGGCCCTTGAGCAAGAACTAACGGTTAATCATTAACCAACAAATTTGTGAAATTTAATAATTAAAAAATAAGCTAATACCCTATCAGAGTTCAAGAATCTTATTATGTCAGGTAGAATTTTGTGTCAGAAGTTAGAAAGAAAAATTTGGGCTTCTTCCAAAGCTTTGAAAGTGAAGCAGTGTCATTTTCCTTCAGAGATTCATCACCTTTGTAAAGTCATCTCATGTCTGGAGGAAGCTTTATTTATGGAAGTAAAAAATGTTAATACTTTTTGGAATTTATAGAAAACGCAGTGCACCTCCTCATTAGTAATAAAAGACGAAGTTTCAATTTGATGAAGTTAAATTGTGGTCTTAGCAAATCATTAACAAGTGTGCTGTAATTTTAGTCAATCAGTAGATGATCAATTTATCGCTACACATTTTGCTCTTATGAAAGAGCTATTGGCTGCACACTTCTTGCAGCGTAATTTTTAAATCTAGTTTTCAAGTTCCTCTGACTTTTGTCTGTTACTTTTCTTAACTGCTCTCGCAGCATATTTGTAGTATTATTTAAATTACTATTCTTGTGAACGTTAGCTGATGCATGATATTTTCTGAAGCACATTAGTTACCATGCTTTCTAGTTTGTTTCGGAATTTCATGTATCATATTTTTCCCACTTATTTTATGAATAAATAAATAAATAAATAAATTGATTTACATCCCTCTTCAACAGCTACCAAATGATTATTTGAAAGAAGTCAGTCTACATGAAGCATGCTCTCATCTCCTCTTTCATAATTTAAACATGTATCCAACAATCAAATATCTCTAGTTGGTCTTTATTATTTAATCATGAACCATAATTTTCTTTTAAGTTGTTCTCTTTTTATTTGCTCATTTTACTTTATTTCAAGTTTTTCCGCCTCATCTGTAGAGTACTTGATCTTTTTAATATGATTTAACTCTCACCAAGATGAACAAGAGCCCTCTTATTTTTTGCTCGTCCATGCCTTGCTTCCTCTTAAATGTGCTCTTCTCATCATTTGAAACACCGCTAAAACCTTTAATAGAAGAAGTGAAATCTTGCGACTTGGAATAAAATTGAAATGAGCGACTAAATGGAAAAAATTTTGGTGAGTTTGCTCCAACGAATCATATGTCATAGGTTATCCAAATTCTTGCCGCGGACATGCAACATGGAACCCTCGAGGAAGGCACATGTATGAAGAACTGCCCCCAGGTAGGGGTAGGTTACCGCCTTGCGTGGGCTCTGATGAGACTATGTATCATTCACATGGAGGTAATTGGAGCTTCAAGTCTGAAATTAACTCTAATTATCTTTGAAAGAGCAGAAAACGTGTTTAATATAAGGTTTTTTTATTGTCGTCTTGATTTTTTGAGCGTTTGGAGTGATGTTGTTTTGACTTATAAATCCAGTGTTAATCAATTTTTACCAGTCGATNTGACATCAAAATCAAATTCCATAATTTTCACCCCCCGAGCCCCCATTTTGGCCGCCATCTTGATTTTGGGGGGTTGGACGCAAAATTGAGCTTGACAACATCGAAATTCTTTTTTTACGCATCGAAATGAAGAGATTAAGATATTTTACACACTTGCTTCACTTACCGTTCCACGGGAAGCTTTTTTTGAACATAAGAACCTGGACTATTACAGCAGATCAAGTCAATTTTTTGGGGATTGAAGTCTCAACTTATCAAAACGGAATGCTCTACTTCTACTTCATTTTTCTCATTTTCTCCTCCTCAATTTCATATTTTGAAACAGATTTGCAAAAAATTATCTTTATATTTCTTTCCCCAAGCAATTTTAAGAAAATCTTGCAATCTTAAAGACGTATGCTCTGTTTTTCAATTTTCATTATAAATATTCCACAAGTAATCCAGTTAAAAGTCGTGGACTGAATGGTCCCCTGTGTGCATGTCATTCAGCAAGATTTTCACTTGTTACAAATTACTTAAAAAATTTAATAGGATCTTTTAGGTAAATGCAGTCCTACAAGGAAAAATTTGGAGTTATGTCTTGGATAACACTTAAAGTATTTTTTATTTTCATCTTAAATTTTTATATTTTTCTTTAAGTAGTCAAAAACAAGAAGTAGTCCAGGTTCTTATGTACTCCCGTGGAACGGTAAGTGAAGCAAGTGTGTAAAATATCTTAATCTCTTCATTTCGATGCGTAAAAAAAGAATTTCGATGTTGTCAAGCTCAATTTTGCGTCCAACCCCCCAAAATCAAGATGGCGGCCAAAATGGGGGCTCGGGGGGTGAAAATTATGGAATTTGATTTTGATGTCATGATTGGGGTCAATTCTTATGTAATTTTGGTCGTAGAATCCGAATTTGAGGTCCAAAATACTCTCCGACCCAAAGGGATGCCCCAAATCCAAGATGGCCGCCAAAATCTCCAAGATAGGGTCAAAACTGCGATACGT